TTTGATGTCCCAAGAGCCTGCAGGGGTCAAACACGGTGTAGGATGTGTGGGGATGTAACAAGGGGGTACTCTGTTTACAGCTTCAAGATTAGACAAGTGTGGATATTTTTAAAAGTTTCTCTCGTGTGTGTGTGTGAGGAACTTTACGAGCTCACACACACACCCTCCCTCTCACTCAAATTCGCAAACAAACGTATACTCACACACACGGCGACACAAACACCCACTCGTCCACCTACACAAGTAAAAGCGCAAAGGCATTTCCTCGAGCAAATATCTCAGGAGCTCTGCAGGTAACAATGACAGGTAAGGTCCATGTACGGGAGACACACCTGTGGGCGGGGAGGGTGTGTGTGTGTGTGTAAGTGATGTTTTCATCATTACGTTCATAACAACAATAGTTAATCAACCGCTCACCGCAGCATAGACACGACAGGTAACAAGCAATTACCTGAAGATTCGCCCCCAGCTTATTTCACCTGAAGATCAACCACCCTAACGTTACCTGGGGGTTAGAGTAGATCAGGTTACGTTAGCTTTAAGGGGGCTAACGTAACAGGGAGAAGCTGTGGCGTGTACAGTAGCTTGTCCTAGAGTCAACGTGTTATCAATAGCAGTCCAGCGGCGGCGACACTGAACCTTGCACGTTGATTACTGTGTACCTGTCTAGTGCACCTGTGTAATATACCTGTCTCGTGCACCTGTGTAAATATACTAGTGTATCTGTATAATGTATCTGTAATATACCTGTGTAATTTACTTGTCTAGTGTACCTGTGTAATATACCTGTATAATGTACCTGTGTAATTTACCTGTCTAATACAAAGATTCATCGTCGATAAACACAAGTCCAGCTTAATGCCAATGTCGTTTACAAAGGTCATTCATCTGCATATATGTGTGTGTGTGTGTGTGGAGAGAAGGGTTAGGGCAGGGTGGGCCAATGTGAGAAGAAGGGAGGGAGGGTGAGGGAGGGCCAGTAAGTGTCTCACCTTGACGTAGTGGAGTGAGGGAAGAGGGGGGGAGGAGTGTCCTGCCCCTCACCCTCCCTCGCTGCCCCTCATCACCGCTTCCACTACTGTAGCAAGTAAACGTACCCCAGCGAACAGTCAACAACCCCTCAGCTCACATGCGTCTCACTAACAAGGATCAAGTACCTCACACTCTCTCACACACTCTTTCTCATTGTCACACACCCACACTCCCTCGCACACACTCTTTTTCTCAATGTCACTCCTTATCTTTCTATATTTATCATTGTCACACACACACACGTCAGGACCAAAACAAACAACCAAATTTTCCTCCTTGATAATCATGTACAAGTCTTAAAACACGAATCACATAACACCGATAGTTTATACACGAATCACATAACACCGATAGTGTATACCCGAATCACAGCGTTAACTATGAATCACAAGACATAAAGCCCAGTGAAATATCTGACCGGACAGTGATTTAATTTGACCCAACCTGTATTGATATATGGGGAAGGAGAGAGAGAGAGAGAGAGAGGTTGTTCACATCACACTATAACATAATCAACAGGTATATTACACCTTATATTATGTCGTCAATTTGATAATATAGCTTAAGCCTGACAGAATAAATTGACAGAAAGCCCATTGAAGTAAATTGAAGTCATTAAGGTAAATTGATTGACGTAATTAAGGTAAACTAAACTACGATACACTGACAGTAGTTTACGAAGATTATTGCACGATATAACGAAGTAAACAATGGTATGTGTAAACCTAACCCAACCAACCCTAACCTAATGCCAACCAAACCTAACCTAACCAACCCTAACCTAATGCCAACCAAACCTGAGTGTATAGTGATCGCGTTTACCTCAGTTTACACATAAATAATCACACGTCATTATTCATTATCGGATTATACCAAAAATTAGACGAAAGAAGAAAAACTATATATTAAATTATACAAGAAAAGAAGGTAATTATATTAAAAATTACTTGAAAGAAAATAATGCCAATAATTATATAAAAGGTGAAATAAACAAGAATGACTAATCTTCCGGTGAAATAAACTATGGGTGACTAATCAACAGGTAAGGCTAATCAACAGGTAATCCCAATAATCATCGCATCTTGGTCTTCTATTCACAGGTAAACAAATTTCACCCACGTTTGTTTACACCAAAGACTCATTAACCTGTTGTTGTTGGCGTGATCACCTGGCGGCCATCACACCTGTGTTTAGTGGCGTAACAGTTAGTGGCCTTAATTAATGGCTCCTAAACCTCTCACCTTCTGTTAATTATTTCGTGAGCCGGATAATCGAGTAAATTAACAATAATCCGGTTAGCTAAATAAATCATAAACCGGTTAACCAAATAAATTAAACATAAACCGGATAATCGAGAAAGTAGATGTGAACCGGATAATCGAATAAGTTAAATGCTAAATAGATAAATCCGTATATACATTAACCGGATAATTTAGTAATCTTAACCTCTCAAGACAGTTACAGATGACATAGGTTAGGTTAGGTCAATGTAATAATAGGCAAACGATGTGTATAAGAACATAAGAAAATAAGGAGTCTGCAATAGGCCGGTTGGCCTGTGCACGGCAGCTCCTGTAGAGAGTTACTACCACTCTCTATCATCCATGAATCTATCCAGCCTCCCTTTGAAACTTTCCAGCGTTCCAGCACTTACTACAAGGTTGCTAAGCTTGTTCCACTCGTCCACCACCCTATTTGTAAACCAGTTCCTTCCTATCTCCCTCCTAAACCTAAACTTATCCAACTTGAATCCGTTGTTCCAAGTCCTATCCTGCTCGGATATTATAAGAACTTTATCTATATCGCCTTTATTGATTCCTTCCACCCACTTAAATACTTCTATCATATCTCCCCGCACTCTTCGTCTTTCTAGGGACTGCAAGTTAAGTTTCTTTAACCTATCTTGATATGGAAGGTTTCTAAGTCCCGGAATCATTTTCGTCATTCTTCGCTGCACCGACTCTAGTGAATTGATATCCATTCTATAATAGGGGCACCAGAACTGAACCGCATAATCGAGGTGCGGCCTGACTAGCGCAAGATATAGTTGCAATAAGACCTCTGCATTCTTATTATTTACACTTCTAGATATAAAACCCAATACTCTGTTTGCCTTATTTCGAACATTAACGCAGTGTTTTCTAGGCCGCAGATCCGGGCTTACAAGTACCCCTTGGTCTCTTTCACAAGTCGACTTCTCTAGGTTGATGTTGTTAAGGCTGTATACATTGACAGTATTTGTTCTTCCAATATGTAAGTGTGTGTGTGTGTGTGTGTGTGTGTGTGTGTGTGTGTGTGAAATGATTCGTTCCATTACTCAACTGATCGTGTTTTCATTTTCATTCACTGACAAAAAACAAGACGACCATTGTTTTCCCATAGTAGAAATACCTAACCTAACCTAACCTAACCTAACCCCAAATCATTTAATCTGACCTTAACTACTGTAAACTACCATAACCTAACTTCATCTAACTGTTATTGATGAAGAACAAGATGATCATAGCACAATAGAACATAAATCATTACTAATAACATGTATTACTGCATGATGTTATGTAATTAAGTTTAAACCGCGTCTTTAACTGTTTATATTTGACCTGTGTTCGAGCGTACACATACATGGACACACTCACAAACAGACAGACACACGTACAAACAAACAGACACACACATACCTACAAACAGACACACACACACATACCTACAGACAGACACGGCGTTAAGTGTTGGCGAGGTTAACCAAAATGACTATTAATTATTTGAGCAGTAAACTTTAGGGAAACTTTACTTATGTGACTGTGGTGTACTTTACTGTGATAACCCACTAACACATTATACGTCTGTGTGTATGAATGTGTATGTATAAGTGTGTGTGTGTGTGTGTTTAAGAATATGTGTATAAACGTGTGTGTGTACGAATATGTATATGTATATGCCTGTGTGTGCATAATAATAATAATTAACGGTTCATTAAAAGAGCTTGGCAGCCAGAAGGCTGAAAATATACAGTTACATATTTGGGGAATGGGTTTCGAATTACAAATAATATACAAGTAACATAAGTGATACAAATAAAATATATAATAACTAGATGGGGAAAAGCTCAAACTACAGTTCATTTCAACATAGTGACAGTGCAAGGACTAGTGTTTACTGGGAGTGAATACACTGATTTATTACAAGTTATTGATTTTTTACAATGGTTGGGACTGGGCTGTTCTTATAGCGATCAGTTCGTGCCGTATGGGCTGGATGCGGTTGTGGTGTCGAACAGCCATTCTCGGGCTAGGGATCTCAAGGTGTGGTAGGAGCCGGTGTCGAGGATGTGTGTGTGTGTGTGTGTGTGTGTGTGTGTGTGTGTGTGAGGTGTGTGTGTGTGTGTGGTGAGTGGAGTGTAATAATAATAATAAACGGTTTATTAATAGAGTTGCAGCCGGTGGCTGAAATTATACAGACTTACATTTGATTTAGACATAAGGATATGCATTGAAAACATTTACAGGGCTGTACAGTGCATAAATCAGGAGTTGTTTATTATTTTAACAATAGATGGGATGGTGCTGTTCTTATATCTATCGGTGTGGGCTGTGTGTATGAGTGTGTGTAAACTGACAAGAGAAGATTTAACATCACATCAGAACATCAAAGTTAACCTCCACCTCACATCTGAAGCTTCCTCCTCACCAAAGCTTCCAATTACACTGTATCCATGCACAGGTGTAGGTGTTGTAGGTAGTGTAGGTGTTGCAACAATGAGTGGCAACAACCACTACCAAGACATGAACTGTTTCTGGGTGTACAGTTTAAAATACACATGGAAAACATTATTAGGTGTATCGAGGTGTAAGACACTTAGGTATACAACACAAAGAACAAGAGGCACTACGAAAACACAGGTGTGGGAGAGCTTGGGCCGGTGTGCTGAGCAACACCTGGACAGGTAAAGGCTCACCTATCATTCATACCTTCACTCTGGACGATGTGTCGCTCTTCCTGGTAAGACGTACAGACGATCATGGTGTGACACTCAACAACAACACCGCGCCACCAGTCTCAACACACAACAAACTTTTATAAAGTCTACTTCGTCGTGGAAGTAACTTTTAAAAGTCACATTGCACTCAAGAAACACTCAATATACATATATCTATATATCCTTTTGAAGCACCAAATTCCCTTATCTCACTATATCTCTTAATTCCACAGGATGAGGTGTTATTTTTCTCTTTTTCTCCCAGTAAGGTTAAGTAGCACCAGTTGTGGTGTGGCGCACCTGGTGTGGTCTGGGTGGACGGTCGGCGAGGCCCTGGTCCAGGTGTGTCGGAGCGTAGCGTCACACGTCCGTCCACCACAACATCCCACAGCTCACTGACTCTCGGCCCACCAGGCAGGCCGTCAACCAGCCAGCCGCGGCACGACCCCTCTCCTCCCTCCCACCTGCCCCCTCACCCCGGCCCTAAGGGCTTGCGGGCTCGGTCGCCGACTCGTAGAGGCAGGCTCGCACCTACCCCCTATCGCCCGCCCTGCCAGGCTGAGAGGCTTGGTTGACTCGTTGCCGGAGCGACTGGTGGTGGTGGTGGGTGACCCTATCAGACCCCAGAGTCACCCCGCGCCCCGCACCCTCCACCCCGCCACAGTGCACGGAGATCCGCCGCTGCTGCTGCACACAGTCCGGGTTAACAAAGATTCCTACGTTTTTTTCTACCACAGCACAGAGAAAAAAATAAAACCACAGTACACCTTTTATATACACGAAGACCCAATTGTAATCTTGTATGGCTATCTATCTATCTATCTATCTATCTATCTATCTATCTATCCTGTCAACACCACCGTTAAGGACAAAGTCTTAGTGTTCTCCACAAGTTACGAGATAAACATAAAACAATGAATCTCTGAGACTCCTGATTCAGGTCTCATCTCTGACAGGTTCCCTCGCGTCCCGGGGTTAAGAGAGCATTTGGGTGTGGTAGAGTCTCAGAGCAGTGTCGACACCATGCTAGTTGCCGTTGTTGTAACAATACTTATATGTTCGTGTTAGAAGACAAGTATTTGTACACATTATGGTAACAACATACTGACGGACGCTTGAAGTGAGAACTAATGACTTAACACCTAACCTAACCTAACCTAACCTCGCCTCCCCAGGTAACGTTAGGGTGTATAATAATCAACAGGTGAAATAAGCTGGGTTGTCGACTCTCCGGGTGATACCAGTAGCTGTACACCTGAGGCCACTTAATTAAAATGGTCCTACCCAAGACACAGGTGAACCATCAGCAGGGGGAGGAACACTCGGCACCTTCAGGAGAGAGTTACTATAGCCTCTTGACCAGCCAGGTGTTAGGGAGCCTCTTGACCAGCCAGGTGTTAGGGAGCCTCTTGACCAGCCAGGTGTTAGGGAGCCTCTTGACCAGCCAGGTGTTAGGGAGCCTCTTGACCAGCCAGGTGGTGGGAGCCTCTTGACCAGCCAGGTGTTAGGGGAGCCTCTTGACCAGCCAGGTGTTGGGGCACTCTTGACCAGCCAGGTGTTAGGGAGCCTGACCAGCCAGGTGTTAGGGGCCTCTTGACCAGCCAGGTGTTGGGGAGCCTCCTTGACCAGCCAGGTGGTGAGGGCCTCTTGACCAGCCAGGTGTTGGGGAGCCTCTTGACCAGCCAGGTGTTAGGGAGCCTCTTGACCAGCCAGGTGTTAGGGAGCCTCTTGACCAGCCAGGTGTTAGGGAGCCTCTTGACCAGCCAGGTGTTAGGGAGCCTCTTGACCAGCCAGGTGTTAGGGAGCCTCTTGACCAGCCAGGTGTTAGGGCTACACTGTGGGCTGCTGGCACCAACAGTCTGGGTTATCAGCTTATTGAGAATGACGGCTTGTGTTGATGCTGTTTATGGTGGTGCTGTCAAGGTTGTTGCTGTTACTGTCGCTGCTGCTGTTACTGCTGCTGTTACTGCTGCTGCTGTTTGTCCTCCCATCTGTGGCAGTGCTTGCAGTAGGTGGGTGGTGCTGTGTTCTCACCTGTGGCGGGGCTGGCGGCCTGCTACAGGAATGTCGTCGATTCATTGTGGTCACACCCACTAGTCTCACACCGCCAACACCTGTCACCACCACCACCAACACCTGCCACCACCAACAACACCTGTCACCACCAACAACAACAGCTGTTATCACCACCAACACCTGCCACCACCAACAGCTGCCATCACCAACACCTGTCGTCATCACCAGCAACACCTGTCATCACCACCAACACCAGTTATCTACCAACACCTGTCATCTACCCAACACCTGTCATCACCACCAACACCTGTCATCACCACCAGCACCTGTCATCACCAGCACCTGTCATCAACAACACCTGTCATCACCAGCACCTGTCATCATCATCAACACCTGTCATCACCACCAACACCAGTTATCACTACCAACACCTGTCACCACCAACAACACTTGTCATCACCAACAACACTTGTCATCACCAACAACACTTGTCATCACCCATCCAAGTATTAACTAAGCCCAACGTAGGTTAACTTTGGTGATGATACGAAGAATAAATTATCAACGAACAGTGTTACCAGCACAAAAACAGCGTACAGCGTAAGAAACAGCCTTGAAGGGACATGGCAATAATAACATCTGAGGAAGGAGACGAAGATGATGACAGGTGTGGAAAATAAGGAGAAAACAATGATAACAATATATGATGGTGAATTCTGAGGAGGAAATGGAAACAAAAGACTCTCTGGGGAAAGAATAACAAGCATAAGGGCTGAGGTAGGGGGTATATCATGCATTGGAGAAGGGAGGGGATGGGGTACAGGTCATGCAGTCCTTTAGGGAGGTGGGGGAGACGCGGGAAGGGGAGGTGGGGGGGGGGCGCAGGATGGGCGGCTTAATCTCTCAGCCGCTCATGACTTCTGGAAATGGGAGGGGCTTCTTGAAGATCGTCTCTGATTGGATGAATTTCCACCAATGACATTATTCGGTTTAAGATAAAGACGGATTCAGTGAAGAGTTCGTGAATGTCAAGACGGATTTCACGATGTAAACAAACGAAAGTGATTTATATCGTCTTGAAATTATAGAAAAACACACACCCTATCATGCCTATACTGCCCCTTATAGCCACACTGCTCCTCACGCCCACATTACCTCCCTCACACCCACACTAAACAACTCCACGCCCATGCTTCCACCACATCTCACTGTCCACCACGCCCACAGTATCTCCTTACGCCCATACTCCTCCTTCTTATGCCCACATTATCTCCCACTCCTAAACTTGCCCCCTACGCCCATACCCCCCCTACGCCCACACTAAACAGCTCCACGCCCGTGTCCATACAAGGCTGCCCGGATGATGGTGGTGAATGTCGTCAGTGATGCTGCCAGGGAGGGAAGGAAGGAGGGAAGGAAGGAAGGAAGGAGGGAGGGAAGGAGGGAGGGAGAAGGAACGGAGAAAGGAGGGAAGAAGGATGGGGTAAAGGAGAAAAACTAAAGGGAAGAAAGAATTCTCCCTCTCCCTCCCTCCCTCACTCCCTCTCTCCCTCCCTCCCTCCTTCCCTCCCTCCCTCCCTCCCTCCTCCCTCCTTCCCTCCATCTCTCCTCCCTCCATCTCTCCTCCCTCCCTCCCCTCCTTCCCTCCCTCACTCCTCCTTCCTTCCCTTCCTCCTCCCTCCCTCCCTCCCTCCTTCCCTCCCTCCCTCCCACTAGACTAGCCACATTGCACGGTGTTGCAAAGGTCACGAGAGTATTGCAAACATTAATACATTTCTTATCATAGACGGAAGTGAAGGAATGTGTCTTGACATCAACACGTAGAAGGAATTATACAAAACTAAGATAATAAAGATTGGAAGTGAAGAAGAAGGGATAAAAACCGACAAATAACGATGAAAAACATGAAAAATAAAAAATGAAAATAAAAATAAAAAATGCTAAATAAATTATAAGCAAAATGAGGAAAAAGTACAGAAGTGATAAATGACAATAAAGATAGAAATAAGGAAAAACTTGAATAAATAAGATAAATCAGAACTTAAACAAAATTAGAATAAATAATAAGACGAACATAAAATAAAAATGTAAATAAAGCCCAAAAAAGGTAAATCAGGCCTAAAAATAATATAAAAAAATTTAATAAAAACAAAAAAATAAAAATCTAAATAAAATAAAGACAAAAATAAGAATAACGAAAGAAAATGAAAAAAATTACAAAATAAATAAATCAAATAGAGAGAAGACACGTGACTGGCTATTAACTCGTGTTGTGGTATAGATGAGACATATGGCTGTTCTATATAATGTCTTAGCGTTTATTGATGTTTTCATATAGGAGTATAACCAACTATGGCTCATATGAGATAAATATACTAAATTATATATATTATTTTATACCATGTCTAAAATTATACCAAAATATGTCTTAATACCTTCAAAGACACTTCACATATGTGGCTTTCTTCTGGTATGTCTTATAGTTAATAGATATAAAATGATTTCAAGTCACATATATAAGAATTTCACAAGACATCAAGCATATGTGACTTCATATCCACACACACACACACACGCACACGCACACGCACACACACACACACACACACACACACACACACACCTACCTTGTTTTACATGTGACTTCCTGTTAGGGTCGTCGCCTTGTGGAAATAATTGAGACATAATGTGTAGGTTGTGTTTGTTTGTTTGAGTGGATGGCGTCAGTTAGTCAGTCGGGTACTCCGCCAGTTAGTCAGTCAGCATCCAGTCGCCAGTCCAGTCAGGTTTTTCCGTGATAGTGGTGGTTAGGTTAGGTTAGGTGAGGTTAGGTTAGGTTAGCATGAGTGTCCACCTGTCAAGACCTGGGTACCTCCTGCCACCTAGCTGACTGCCCTCCTCCTCCTCTTCCTCATTTACTCCCCTTTCTTCCCCCATTTCTCTCCTCCTCCTCCCTCCCCTCCTCCTCTCCCCATTCTTCCTTCTCCCTCATTCTCCTCTCGCCCCCTCCAAGCACCCCTAGCTCACCATACAAACATGATTTAAGGCACCATTACACTCGTTCACCACACCCAAAACATCTCACCATATACGTCACCATATTTGTACTTGACTGGTTAATAGTGAGGCCACGACCTCCACCTCTCTCTCTCTCTCGCAACTATAGGCTCCTCTTTGTATTATAGGCTCCCACTTACATTATAGGCTCTCCTTCAGATCATAGGCTCTCCTTCAGATCATAGGCTTCCCTGTACCCCCCTCAGATCATAGGCTCCCTGCACCCTTCAGATCATATGTTCCTGTACCCCCTCAGATCATAGGCTCCTGCACCCCTCAGATCATAGGTTCCCTGTAACCCCCTCAGATCATAGGCTCCCTGTATCCCTCAGAT